TGTATGCATAAAGATTCTTTATCTTTCAATAAAACTTTGTTTGCTTCTGGCCCACTGGGAGTCTGAAATTTTTCCTGCCTTTGAATTCTTCCACTGAGAAAACAAACCCAAGAATACCCCTAGACAGAGGAAGTGCCAACCACAACAAAATCTGTAATTATAATGATGCAAACAAGCAGGTTAATTGTTCAAAAAAGCAACAGCAGACACATGTGATGCTTTAAGAAAACAGACAATATGGGTGCTGGAGAGACGGCTCAGGGGTTAAGAGCACTGGTTGTTCTTCTTGAAGACCGGGGATTGGTTCCCAGCACCCACATAGCAGCTAACAAGTGTCCTTAACACCAGTACCAGGGGGATCTGATGCCCTTTTCTGGTCTCCATGGGTAGATGGGACACGTACATACATGCAGATGAAACTTATAGAATAAAAATAAGTAAAACATTAAAAAAAGAAAATATCTTGCTTGTTTATGGATCTAAAGAGGAGGGAGCTTGCTTGGAGAAGAGACTGCACTGAACTGAAAAGAACTGACTCCTGTCTTCAGAACAGCAGCACCCACTGGGCGGTCAGTTCCAGAACCAGCCACTGCGGTCAAACACAGAAACATTCTTGATCTAAGGCTCATACAGTCAGATCGATCAGGAGACCTGTGGAAACAAGTCCGTTATTACAGGTTGTTGATGCCTTTTCCTCTAAGTCCCAGGACAGGAAAATGATAATCTTAAAAGACTGAGTGTTAGTTTGGTAAAAATAACTTATCTTGCCGGGTGTGGTGGCAGACGCCTGTAGTCCCAGCACTTGGGAGGCAGAGGCAGGCAGATCTCTGTGAGTTCAAGGACAGCCTGGTCTACATAGTGAGTTCCAGGACAGCTGGGGCTATAGGGAGACCCTGTCTCAAAAAGACAAAAAAAAAAAAAAAAACAACCCAAAAAACAAAAACAAAAAACAACCTTATCTCTACTTCCTTCTTCATTGGAATAAGTGGTGCTTTCCCCTCACTCCCCCAAGGGTTGAGGCTGAAGGGGAAGTTTCAGACCTGTGACTTTCTGACAAGGCACAGAATCCCCTACATCCTCTGCAACCCACTCTATCAGAAACAAAACACAGCAGACGTCTCACCTGCTTACTGAAGTCTTTGAGAGCTTCCCTGAGCTATAATGGAGGAAAGAGAAGGTATTCAGTCATTATATACCCCGTAGACAGTGAGACACACTTCCCATCCATCCCACCTCCATCGCCATCACTACATGGGCCTCCCATGACCCCGGGCATCTGGGGACCTTGCATGACTGATGGCCAGACCCCAGGCTGGGGCTTCCCCTCCCCCCCATAGGCGAACCTCACTCCAACATTGTTTTCATGTCCTCTAGAACCCTCCAGCATTACTTTTCTGTCTTAGTTCCTTATAGCGACGGGTAAACACATCAGGGAGAGGCAGGGCTTCACCACTTGACAGCCTTCCTGTGCTTACTTTTCTTTGGGGTAGGAGTTGAGACAGAGTCTCACTGTATTAGACGAGGCAAGCTGTGAACTTGTGATCCTCCTGCTTATGCTGGGATTATAGGCTGCCTCTCCATACCTGGTCTTCTCTCCATTTAAAAATAAGATTTCTTCTTCTCCTCCTCCTCCTCCTCCTCCTTCTTCTTTTTTTTTTTAGTCTTTTTGAGATAGGGTCTCCCTGTAAGCCCCAGCTATCCTGGAACTCACTATGTAGACCAGGCTGTCCTTGAACTCACAGAGATCCGCCTGCCTCTGCCTCCCAAGGGCTGGGACTACAGGAGTGTGCCACCATGCCTGGCAAGATTTATTATTTTTAAATTTTAAATTGTGTGTATATGTATGTGTCTGTATGTGGGTAGTGTATGTGTATATAATGTGACAGCAGAGGCCAGAAGGCCAGAAGGCCCTGACATGGTCACTGGGATCCAAACTTGGGTCCTGTGCAAGAGAAGCACATGACCCTAAGCAATGGGTCCTCCCCAGCCCACCTCCTCACCTTTCTTGCTCCTCACGTGCATGACGAGGCCCACTGCCAGGAAGATGAGCCCCAGCACCAGGCCCCCAACTCCAGTCAGTGTCTTGTTCTGGGCAGAGTCAGACTGGGCCCCTGGAAGAGCAGAATCCAGGGTTAGAGTCACCTCCAGGAGGTGACAGCTCAGGGCCTGTCTGGATGGATGTGGAACATCAGCATGAGGGACAGTGAGAGGGACACAGTGTGGAGGATGTGTAGAAGGTCTACAAGGTCCAGACCTGGTTTCAGTGGGGACAAGGCTGATTCTACCCACTGCCTTAAGAGGCAGGACAGGTCAGGCTAAAGGCTGAGGAAGACACAGCTCCCCTGTGTGAGGACAGCATGGGAGAACGTCTGCCTTCCTAGACCTCCTGACAAGGGCAGATCCTGAATCTGTAGGATCCCAGGACAGTGACGGTCCATCACCTCCAGCTCAGAAGCAGCCTCGGGGGCCTGAAGGAGGCACAGGGGGAGATCTGGTCCCCATGCATGGACACCCCGGGCAGGATGAGTGGACCTCACAGCCAGGGCGTTGCCTGCTGTACAGAACGTGAGTCTAGAAGGGTCACTGGGAACTCACTCCACTCCACGGTGATGGGTCTGTCCAGGCTGGGGTGCTCCACGTGGCAGGTGTAGACATCTCCCCGCTGAGGGGTCATTTCCAGTGTCACCAGGATCTGGAAGGTCCAGTCTCCATTGCGGACTGGGTTGGTGGACACGATCCCAGCTGTTTCCTCCTGGTTGTTCCGGTACCAGTGGACTTGGATGTTGCCTGGGTAGAAATCTGTCACGTGGCACATCAACAGGTTGTGGTGCTGCAGGGCCACCTTCTTAGAGGGCGACACATGTACCTTAGGCTGGACTGGGAAAGGGGAACACATGAGAGAGTGTGAATGCTTAGGTGTTCCATTAAGAAAATTTTTCTAGATACTTGAGTCTAAGTGTCATAGTCAGGTGACTGGATGAGTGTTGTACTGAAAAGATGGGAGTAGATTTTCACAAGAACACACAAAATCTTTTAAAAAATTATTTTTTATTTTATGTGTATGAGGGTTTTGTGTTCATGTACACCACATACATGCAATGCCCACAGAGGCCAGAAGAGGGCATAAAATCCCCTGGAATTGGAGTTACTAAGGGTTGTTAGCTGCCATGTGGGTGCTGGGAAATGAGCCTGGGTCCTCTGCAAGATCAGCCAGTGCTCTTAACCGCAGGAGCATCTCTACAGGCCCTTCTTTTGATTTTTTGAGACAGGGTCTCCCTGTAGCCCTAGCTGACCTGGAATTCACTATGTAGACCAGGCTGGCCTCAATCTCACATAGCTCCGCCTGCCTCTGCCTCCCGAGTGCTGGGACTAAAAGCGTGTGCCACCACGCCCACCAAGTTTCCCTCTGTCTTTTTTCTGGGTGTTTGAGGAGCCACCACAGGCGCTGTCTGAGCCTCTGCATCTCCAAGTGCCTTCCGGTCCTCGCTCTGCTCAAGGTCAATGCCCACGTTGCTGCCGCTTCCTGTGAC